GTGATTTAAGAACTTTATGTTGTAATTTGAATTTTATGGTGTGATTTAAGAACTTTATGTTGTAATTTGAATTTTATGTTGTGATTTAAGAACTTTATGTTGTAATTTGAATTTTATGTTGTGATTTAAGATCTTTATGTTGTAATTTGAATTTTATGTTGTGATTTAAGAACTTTATGTTGTGAAATAGAACAACTTAACAATGCATGAGAAATAGAACAAATTAACAACGTCATTAGAAATAGAACACCTTAACAACTCTAAAGAAATAGAACAACTAAACAACTCTAAAGAAATAGAACAACGGAACAACGTCATTAGAAATAGAACAACTTAACAACTCTAAAGAAATAGAACAACTTAACAACTCTAAAGAACACCTCACTCTTGTGCACCACGTCCGCGTCCCTCCCTCCGACGTCTATTCCTTGAACGAACTCCATATCCAATTCCAGTATTTCGTGGCAATGGAGGTGGGGTTGCAGTGGCTGGAGGACCATAATAAACATTTGGAATCGGAGTCTGGAAGCTTTGATGCGGGGTTTGAAATTGATGACCATACGATGAATAGTAGGCTCCTCCTCCCCCTCCTTGAGCAGAACCTAATGATCCCTCTCCGAATTCCCTTCTGGCGGGAGGGAATCCATACTCGTATGGGTCAGGAAGTGCCACATCTTCTCGTACATGCACAGGGACTGTAACTGGCTCTTGCCGACGTTTACTCCTCCTTGGTGGTGATGGCGGGAGAGATTCAACTTCAATGGCGTGGGAGGAAGGACGTGGCGGTGCAGGAGCAGGAGGATATGCAATGACATCCCTTCGGATTTCCCGCGAACTTGACAAGAGATTCTTGAAGAGCTTCTTCAAGAATGAAATTTTCTCCCCTGGCACATCATCTTCTGATTCATTCTCCAACGTCATTGATGCAAGTTCCAACCCATCAACCTAAATAATAAACATGTTAGTCAAACACTATTTGTGTAGCTAAAGTGATTATAGTAAATAGATATTGTGCTTACCAATGAACCGATCACGGCGCCACGTTTGGTTACCCATCTTTTTGTGAACTTGCGGTACCAAAACCATGTATTCATCTTGGTACCCCATTGGCCTCGTCATTGGGATCCCATCAATTGCATACGTCTGACGAGACTCCCACATTTCGATCCATCTATGGTGCTTGGTTGGCCAATCACTTATTGTACCCCGCAGATTCTTGCTGTACTTGTGGAGTGACTTATGTACGTCCGGTGGTGGGAGAGGAATCGGTTGCGCCCAATTATATTGCCGGACACATCTATCCGGGAGGTGCCACTCGACAATGTTGTGGCAAATCACAGGCAACTTGCACGACCAGAGTCGGCGATCCTCAAGGTATCGCAACTCGTACAAATCCTTTGCTCCGTTCGGATACGGATCCCACTCCACCTAAGTTTCAACACAACATATAAATTAAAATCGAAGCAAATAATTTCAACAAATAAAATAGGATTCATAATCATAAAAATAAATAATAGGCTAAGACAAATAATTTCAACAAATAAAATAGGATTCATAATCATAAAAATAAATAATGGGCTAAGACAAATAATTTCAACAAATAAAATAGAATTCGTAATCATAAAAATAAATCATAGGCTAAGACTAAGACAAATAATTTCAACAAATAAAAACTTATTCATAATCGTAAAAATAAATCATGGGCTAAGGCAAATAACTTCAACAAATAAATTAAAAATAAATAATCATAAGCTAGAATGTTACCTCGTTGAATTCTATACGGTCAAGATGTTGGCGGTACCCGTCTAGAGAGGTGAAACTCGTGATAGCTCCAATCCATCTAGCACCATAAGCCCATTGTCGTAGTGGCTTATCGGGACCCCAACTGTTGGCAGGGCAGATCGGAGCGAAAGTAGGAAGGTGCTCCCAAACCCATAGTTGGAGGATGAACATGGGACCACCCGCTTGCTTTGTTTTCGGATCCGTACACTTGCACAACTCCGAATATATCATCGCCAAACAAGCAGATCCCCAACCTTTTCTCCCAATCTCGTCCCAATCTTCCAAAAGAACTCGAAGCCACATACAATGCATATTTCCACCAGACTTGTTCGGAAACAAAAATCCTCCAACCAAACAAATAAGGTAGATGCGAGCATACCTCTCTATCTGAGCATCCGTGACATCCTCCGGTAATTCCCCAACGGTCCTCACTAGCCAAGGTATCAATAACATAGACTTGTGTAGAGGTGGTACACGACGACCTTCTTGTGCTTCCTTGGGGATGTTGATACCTAAACGCTCGCTTATAAATTGGCCCCAACCATTCAATGGTTTCTATGAACTTTCTATCATTGCATCACCATCGATTGGAAGCTCTGTCAGCATGGCTACGTCCTTCAACGTAATCGTCATCTCTCCCTCTAGAAGGTGGAATGTGTGCGTTTCTTTTCTCCATCTTTCAACCATTGCCGTAAGAAGGTTGTTATCCATCTCCATCCCCACAAACTTTCGCACCCTCAGCAATCGCGCTCTTTCAATGAAGGGCTCGATACGATCATCCCATTTAGACAAGCGAGATAGCGACCGATGGGTGATTACGTCAAGTTGTTCCTGTAGAAAAAAATATTAATTATTATACAAGAAAAAATTAGAAGAATACTATCACATTTAAAAAAAAAGTACATGAGGAAGTGCTTACCAGATCTGCCGCCCAAACACTTTCAGACCATTGGTAAGGTTGCTCATCCAACAAATCGTTCTCGCGGTCCGCCTTGAATGTATAATCTAGGATCGTAAATACTCGGATCCATCTCGAAAATTTTGAGTGATAGAAGTACCAAACTAAAGAAAAAAAATCTGATGCGGAAGATCGGGCTTAGCCACAACCACAGAGCATATTTTTTTCTTCAAGAGTGGTGGGAGGAATAGAGGAAGAAGAATGGAGTGGTGTGGGATTTGGTGCAATGGGAGGGGGAATTTATAGGTACAGTTGGTTGAGGTGGATCGAGTTTAGGGGACTCGAACCACAGCATCTATTTTTCCTCCTTCGATCCGTGTCAAAAGGAGTTCGAGTGCAGGCAAATCGAACGACCAGATCGAGTTAGGCAAACTCGATCTACGGTGGAGCGGGTCTGACGTCATCAATCCGCGTCAAGCATATCGATTCCAAAGAGCTCGATCCATGTGCATCGATTTGTCCCCACTCGATCCGCGTCACCACTAAATCGCGGATGTGGCCATCGAACGGTGGAGTTCGATTCCCTTTACCTCGATCTAGGGTGGAGCGCTGCTTATGTCAGCGATCCATGTCAATCAGTTCGAGTGTTCTGTACTCGATCCACGTAAATCGATTTTACCACACTCGATCCGCGTCGTCCTGTTCCAGCCAATCGCGGCTGTTTCACTCGATGCACGTGGATCGATCCCTTGGCAATCTATCTGGCACTAATTCGAGTTTGTTAAACTCGAACCGGTTCAAACTTTGGTAGTTTGGGAAATATTTATAAAAGTGATGTATTATGGGAATCACTTTTAATTTTCACTGTATTTAGGGAAATAATCCCTGCCTTGTTGATTTCTCCTTCTCCAAGTCGATCTTCCCCTGCCTCCATCATTGGTTTGATCCAACAGTTGACGCCGTCTGCATGTGGTTTTCTGCGGAGCGATTGAAGAGAAGAGAAAATAATAGTTGCTTCGGTGATGCTAGCGCTGGCAGATGCAACGGCGGCGACAACGTTGGCGGATGCGGCAACAATGTCTTCCTAGTAGTGTTTTGTGCCTCTATCTTCCTTTCTTAGTGTTAGTAGTTGGTTGTAGAGACTAGAGAGCGTGTTTGGTTTGGGCTTGGGTCTGTGAGGTTTAAATGAATATGTTTGGGTGGTGGGCTTGGGGGGAGCGGATATGGTGACAACACCATATTTGTTGTTATTGTAACAACACTAGTCTCCAACCAATAGGAAGCTAGGATTGTGATGACTTTTTATTAGCTTAGTTGACCTAGTCTAAAATAAAAATAGGGGTATAATTTTCATTATAAAAAATATGTTTAAATAGTCATAAAAAATAAAATAAATATTTTTTTTATTTCCTGCCTAAAAATTTTGGTCGCCGGAATCTGGTCCCCGGTCACCAGAATATGCTATTTTCTCATCGGAATATGTCATCGTCGTCGGAATATGCTCACTGTGGTCGGAATATGCTTACCGGTGTCGGAATCTAGTCAACAGGGCCGGAATATGCCTATCGGCGCCGGAATGTACTCACTGACGGTCATCGGAGTTTGGTCAACGAACTTCGTTGACCGGTCAAGGGTCAACAACCACCGGATATAATGGTTTGCATTGTGAGATTGATGGTTTGGTTTCTCGTGTTTTTTATGATATTCGTGGTTTACTTTATCGTGTTTGTGGTTTTCATTGACAAGTTTCTGGGTTGCTTTCAAAAATGTTGTGGTTTGCATTGTGAGGTTTCTGGTTTGTTTTAGTATATTTGTGGTCTGCATTAGGACTTTTATGGTTTGCTTTTTTTGTGGTTTGATTTACTGTGTTGTGGTTTGCATTATGAGGTTTCTGGTGTGCTTTCGCAAATGTTGTGGTTTGCATTGTGGCGATTCTAGTTTGTTTTAGGAGATTTGTGGTATGCATTAGGAGGTTTCTGGTTTGCATTAAGAAGATTCTGGTGTGCTTTTGAAACTTTTGTGGTTTGCTTTGCGAGGTTTCTGGTTTGTTTTATTGTGTTTCTGGTCTGCATTAGGACGTTTATGCTGTGCATTTGAAAATTTTATGGTTTGATTTGTGGGGTTTCTGATTTGTTTTAATGGATTTGTGGTTTGCACTAGGAGGTTTTTTGTTTGCTTTTTTGTCAACTTATGATTGGATAGAACAAATATTATTTACAGGGCATAATGATGAGTTTAGACCCATGGTAGATACAAATCATGCATGATCAATGATGAGAATTCTCCTTCCCTTTTCCCCATATTATTCCCATTACTTACTTTACGTTGATGATGGTCTCCTCCATCCAATGACTGTGAAGATGAAGGAATCGCAGTGTGATCAATGGAGGAATTGGTTCTCGACAAGCCATAGGAGCTCATTGTCCTGGGGTGATAAGCCAAAACTTTCCTCCCTTTCCCGTCAAAGATGACATCCATGTCGTCTTCTTCATCCGGAACCTTGCATTTCTCCCCTAATATAATGGTCTTCATCCACACTGAATCCTCGTTCCTCATCTTCTCCCTCTTGATCTTCCTCTCCTCTCGATCCTGCTTCTTCGCCTCTGACACACTCCTCTTAAGATTCATGCTCATCGCTTTCGTCAGATTCTTCCTGGAAATGGACGTTGTTGCTACGAAGTTGTTGCACGAATATGTCGCCCTCAGTTGCTTCGACGGCGGTAAAGGCAATGCGCTCCCATGGGAGCTCCCTTCTTCATCTAAATCTGTAGGTGACGCAGCTGATCTTCCGGCCGAGCGCGACGGCGGTGACGACCCGGTCAAGGATGGTGCGGTGGTTGCAGATGAAGAGGACGCCCAGTTGGCTCTTTCTGGGCGGCGGCGAGTGTGAAGGAGACGGGATCTATCAGAGCGAACGGAAAAATGCTTAGGGTCAATTTTTATTTATTATTTTTATTGTTTATTTACCCTTTTACCCTTAATGAATCCTATTGTTATTATAACAACACTTAAGTTGTTGTTATATTATCCGCACCCGGGCTTGGGTATGTGAGGGTTAAATGAATGTGTGGTGGGCTGTGATGGTAGAGTGGCCATGGAAGGGTTTGGGCTAAGTGGGCTTAACAATAATATATGGGTTGGGTTTAATTTTTCTGTTCAAATTTCGGAATATCGGTTTGGCCGACCAGACCCTGGTTTTTTAACTAAGGTCATTTCCTTTTCGAATTCCGAACCAAAAATTTTTAATTTGGTTTTGGTTCAATTTGGATCGCTTTCAGTTTGGCTTAGTTCGGGTTTACCGAACCACATGCCCACCTGACTCGCTAAAACAAACTCCTAGCAAAGGCCAAGTGTAACCAATGAAAGGGACTGCAGTATAGTGATACAAGTAATAAATATCGAATCCACGGGTCTCTAGAGTTACTATTACTCAGCTTCAGTTCGTTATCTAACAAACCAAATTAAGATAGAAGAACTATAACTACTATAGCAAACTATAGTTAAAGTTAATCTAATTACAATTTAGGAACCCATTTAGGTATGATTCCCCCTAACTCCTCAATTAGGTCCAAGTTGTAATTTCCTTTGGTCGTTTTACTGTTGATTAAACTGCGGAAGATCCAATAAAAGTTTGGAATCTTTTAAGCTGACCAAGCCCTCTTAGACACATATACATGGCAGGCGACTAACCTTCACCAAGATAGAATGCTAAGGCAATTCACACAGATCTCTACTACTTGGAATAAATTCCAATACAAAGCAGTGAATTGATTGACTCTCGCACAATCAATTCATTACTATCAATCAAGGAAGCTCTATTAACCTAATCAGATTCTATCTATCATAGGTTAAAGCAAAAATCAAGAGAATATAATCAGGATCCAATTGACTCAACAAATCATATCTCAATTTATTAAAATCAAACAGTATAACATCCATTGGTGAACAAATTCTCCAAAATAGCTCCAAGAATGTTCCCAAGTCGCTCTCTCTCCGGGGTTTGTCCCTTGGGTGGTTGAGATCCAAAACTCAGTTCTCTCCCTCCAAAAAGTGCGGAAAACATACTTATACCCGACCAGCGGGCAGAAACGCAGTAGTGTTTATCAGGCCGTGTTTCACCCTTCCCTTGTTTCTTCTCGTCAATAAAAACACGAGCGCGGGAGGACAAAACACGGTCGTGTTTCTCCTGCCCGTGTTTCTTCCTCCGCTTATGTTCCACTCTCTTTGATGCTTCGTTTCTCCCTTATCCGGACTCCGAATCAGTCGCCTTTTGATCCAAGACGCTCATAGTCTCGTTCTATTTCTTTTCATGATAAGATTACATCTGTGTCCATAAAATGAGGTATAAATCCATTCTTCTTCAGGTCACCCTCGTGTTTCTTATCTCCAATTGACTTGAAACTTGCTTTATGCTTCACCATACGTGCTAGGACCTGAAATATGACAAAGGAACACAAACTAGCATAAAATAAGCCAAGAAAGCAAAAAATAAGCCAAAATGATCAAGAAACGAGGGTGCAAACATGCGCAAATATGATGCTATCAAATTCCCCCATACTTAACTGTTTGCTTGTCCCCAAGCAAACCAAGTCAAACACAAGGTAAGCTCAAAATGTTTTACCATGCAAAATTTGAGGACCTATTGATAGACCAATAATTACACATGTTTGCACCCTTAGTTCTTATCCGTTTGCTGCTAGTAGTCGTGTATTTTTGGCCCGTTTTACGCTGGGTTGTGCTACTTTGTCATATTTCAGGTCCCAGAAGTCGAAGGAAAGGCTAAGCACGAGATTCGGGCCGTTTGGAGGTCATTCGGTCGAGTTGGGGGCAAAACACGGACAGGAGGCCTAAAGAACACGGCCGTGTACACAAACAGGCACGCCAGTGTTTTTATGTGCGAGAGCTGAACTGATGGAAAAGCAAAACACGGTCTGGCCTAAAGAAAAACACAGTCGTGTCCATATTTAGGCACGACCGTGTTTTGGCCGACGCGGGCGTGTTTTTAACACTTGGCAAGGGCACAGACGGGCAAAAGCAAAACACAGCCGTGTCCTCGACCGTGTTTTGCCCAGAATCAGGTTTTTGAGGCAGATTGAAGCGAAAGGAAAGGGAGAGCTGGGTTTTGGATCCCAAACACCCAAGGGACGAACCAAAGAGAGAGAAGGCAATTTGAGGGCATTCTAAAAGTGGAATTGGAGGATTTATTCGCCTTGGAAGCTCGAGGAACAAGCCCGGACTTGAAGACTGATCATCTGAAGATTCTTACTGCAGTCTCTCTCTTCTCTATGGAGTAACTTCCCTTCACTTAGGTTTTGAGGAACCCTAGCTATGTTTGTTTGATTGGATGATTGTATGAGTACTCTTACTTGATAATCTTGAGTTCATATTCAATCTATGCACGTTTTCATGATTCAATTCTGCTTTAGTCGAGATTCTTGATTCTGCTTTGATCCTATGAGAGCGAATACTTGATTAGGTCAATAGAGCACCATAGATTGATAGTAGTGGACCGATTGCTTTAGTTGAGGGTTGATTCACTACTTTGTATCGATTGAGAACCTCATTCGATAGAGGGAGTCTAGTTCAGAACGCCTTGATCGGTTGTTCTAGAGAAGGATACGTCCCTCTAGGCAATTGACTCAAGAGGGCCTTGTTCCTTTGGTCGAGACTTGATGACTCGATATTTGCACATGTTTTCCCCTTTGTTTCTTGATCGTTTAAGCTTAAATTATTGCTTCTTTGGCCTATTTTACGCTAGGTTGTGTTCCTTTGTCACATTTCAGGTCCTAGCACATAAAGTGAAGCGTAGGCGCAAGTTTCAAGTCGATCGGAGATCAATTGGCGACTCGGGGGAAGAAACTCGGGTATGAATTGAAGAAGAAGGGATTTATACCTCAGTTTGTGACCATGTAATTATGTAATCTTGTCATTATACGAAAGAGGACGAGACTATGAGTGTCTGGGATCAAACAGCACCTGATTTGGAGTCCGAACGAGGGAGAAACGAAGAATCAAAGATAGGGGAAAATTGGTTTCGGGCTTCTCTGAGAAACAGAAGGGGGCCCTATCGTGAACCAAAAATCCCCGGTCGTGACCCAAAAATCCCCGCTCGTGAACCAAAAAAATCCCCGCTCGTGACCTAAAATACCCGACAGGGGATCGCGAACGCAGGCTGTTAAAAGCCTGTTTTTCTGCGTTTTTGCAAGGGAGAGCTGGGTTTTGGATCCCAAACACCCAAGGGACGAACCAAAGAGAGAGAGGGCGATTTGAGGGCATTCTTGGAGTGGAATTGGAGGATTTCTTTGCCTTGAAAGCTCGAGGAACAAGCCCGGACTTGAAGACTGATCATCTGAAGATTCTTACTGCAGTCTCTCTCTTCTCTATGGAGTAACTTCCCTTCACTTAGGTTTTGAGGAACCCTAGCTATGTTTGTTTGATTGGATGATTGTATGAGTACTCTGACTTGATAATCTTGAGTTCATATTCAATCTATGCATGTTTTCATGATTCAATTCTGCTTTAGTCGAGATTCATGATTCTGCTTTGATCCTATGAGAGGGAATACCTGATTAGGTCAATAGGGCACCATAGATTGATAGTAGTGGATCGATTGCTTTAGTCGAGGGTTGATTCACTGCTTTGTATCGATTGAGAACCTCTTTCGATAGAGGGAGTCTAGTTCAGAACGCCTTGATCGGTTGTGCTAGAGAAGGATACGTCCCTCTAGGCAATTGACTCAAGAGGGCCTTGTTCCTTTAGTCGAGACTCAAGGTCTAGTCAAGGATTCTCCACATTGTGGATGAAAGTGAAACAAGTTAGAGATCATCAATCGTTAATGTGGCTAGTGGCTAGGGGGAATCATACCTAAGTGAGTTCCCAACCAGTAATTAGATTAACTTTAACTGTAGTTTGCTAGAGTAGTTTTAGTTCTTTCATCTTAATCCGTTCTAGATAATGAACTGAAGCTGAGTAATAGTAACTCTAGAGACCCGTGGATTCGATATTTATTACTTGAGCCACTATACTGCAGTCCCTTTCATTGGTTACACATGGCCATTGTTAGGAGTTGTGTCATAGCGAGTCAAAACTCAAGGTCTAGTCAAGGATTCTCCGCATTGTGAATGAAAGTGAAACAGGTTAGAGATCATTAATCATTAAGCTGGCTAGTGGCTAGGGGGAATCATAACTAAGTGAGTTCCCAACCTATAATTAGATTAACTTTAACTGTAGTTTGTTAGAGTGGTTTTAGTTGTTCCATCTTACTCTAGTTTGCTAGATAATGAACTAAAGATGAGTAATGGTAACTCTAGAGACCCGTGGATTCGATATTTATTACTTGAGCCACTATATTGCAGTCCCTTTCATTGGTTACACTTGGCCATTGTTAGGAGTTGTGTCATAGCGAGTCACCTATCATATAGGCACAAAACACATGAATCATACTGGCTTTTAGACATCAACACATGAACAATAACAACAACAACCTGGACAACCACCACATATGACATTCGAGTGCAGCAAAATCGGGTAGAAGAAGAGTCTCCCATCTGTCCACCAACCAACAGAGACTCAACTCAACCACTCATTCAAAACATTCAATCATGCATAGAACTCAATACATCAGAATCAAAACCGAACAATCTAGGTCCTCACCATGTAATATGCAAAATGAATCACTCACTCTCGGCCAGTGAGGTCAGGACAAAATTTGATTCAAAATAAGTGCATACTCATACTCTCAATCCCTATAGTCTCTTCACCATGACGGCAACCTCTAAATGTTAGAGTTCATATAACGGGTGTCACCACTAACTTGTTTGGAGGTCTTAGACACGGGTTCAGATGACTGGCTAGGGTCTTGGACATGGGGGGAAAAGCTTTTTGGGTGGTGGTAAAATTTATGATACAAGGTTCCATAGTTCCAAACCCAACATAGCAGCATTCATTCAAGCCAATTACTTCCTCTCTGTTATTCTATAGTAGCCAAATTATTTAGAGCACAAGAGTTAAGGAGGTTACAACTTGTTAGTATCTCCAAGCCTGTTTGCTTAGAAACATGTTTTAATGAGCATGATTAAGATTTTTGTGGTGGCTCTCTTTTGCTTTCATTTGAATCTTTTTTCCTTTAGATAACCACCACTTTTTCCACATTATTTTTATCCTTGCAAGCACAGCCCAGCTTTTAAGAACTGTCTCCCACCCTCACTTTATTTCCAGTAGAAAACATGCAAAAACCACTCTGTGGAACCTCAAATAGATGCATAAGGGTGATTTTCCATTGTAGACACAAAGAAAGAAGGTTACCCAGCTCAAAGGGGCTGACTAAAGAGTATCACACACCAGGTGAGTCAATTTGGTCGTGGGTTAATCATATGCCTCCATCATCCTAATTAGTGGCAACGTGACTATTACACATCATGGTAAGAGGGATCTATCACACAGAAAGAAACGAGCAAACTCAAATCTCACATGGCTACCTATATGCTCTATCTCTCATTCGGATTCCCTGAACTAGATGCATAAAGGAATGTAGAAAATAAGTGATCAATCTAAATCGCAGTTGGTAAGCAAATAATGGAAAGTGAACCCCTACACAACTCTAATGCACGTATTAGTCATCATTATAGGTCGTCTTAGTCACAAAAAAGTTGTCATGCATCAATGCTAACAGCCAATCGATTAACCACACACAAACATAGTGCCAATATGTTCATGCAAATATCTGTACTTGCGAGGTATGGATACATGGCACAGAAAGAAAAGAGGAGGCTCAAATCTCACATGGCTACCTATATGCTCTTTCTCTCATTCTGATTCCCTAAACTAGATGCATAAATGAATGTAGAGAATGAGTGATCAATCCAAATCGTATTTGGTAAGCAAATAATGGAAAAGTGAACCCCTACACAACTCCACCACACGTATCAATCATCATTATAGGTTGTCTTAATCACAAACAAGTTATCATGCATCAATGCTAATAGCCAATCGATTCACCACACACAAACATAGTGCCAATATGATCATGCAAATATCTATACTTGCGAGGTATGGATACAGGGCGTGGCTTGAAAATTTCCAGAGATCGCAAGATGTGATGGCGGTGGGTGACCCGACAATGTGGAAAGGAATTTGGTCCATGAATACCCCACCTTAGGCACATATATTTATGTGTCCGTTTGTGAGGGACTCTCTTGCTACTCGTGATCATGTGAATATTAGGAGCCAGCGAAGGGGTGACGCGCCCCCGTTTTGTAACAAGATGTAAACTCAAATTCATATATTCTATGTGTGCGAGTGGAATAGTAGGTTGTGGCGGGTCTCCCTGGAGGCTGGCTTCTTCTCTATGAGGGGATCATTGACATGTTTGGAGTGGGTGAGAAAGGTTGCAGAAAATGCTTTGGCTCAAGGAGTTTTAAGATTGGTGTATGTTGTTGTGGATGCTATGGAAGGAGAGTAATGCTCAATTGTTCAATGGGGCTAAACTAGCCGAAGAGGACATTGTTCCTAGATATGTCTCTCTTCTTGGTGAATATAGGCAATGACAGGAGAGGGCCGAGCCCGATTCACGAGACATGTCGGAGAAGCATTATACTATGTCATAAACCAGTTTGTCCCAATAACTCGAGTTGTTGGGAGAAGGTTAAGCGGGATCTGATACGACACTCTAACACGCCCCTAAAACGCACGGGCTTTGAGTTTGCACAAGCCCACCATATCTTGTGCTTTAATAAACTGTTAATATTGGGGGTCATGGAAAATCAAACACACGACCACTTGGTCTAACCAGCTTTAATACCATGTCATAAACCAGTTGGTCCCAATAACTCGAGTTGTTGGGAGAAGGTTATGCTGGATCTTATACCACACTCTAACATAGTAAACCGACTGAGAGGTGGATTGAAGTTAATACGGACACAAGAGTGTTTTCAACGGGAGTGGGATTGAGTGTGGTGATTTTTTATTATCACAATGGCAATTCCTCATGGCAGTGGCAAAGAAGCATATGGGGGTGCAGGACCCGAAACAAGGAGAGGCATTAGCGGCGGAGTTTGGTCACCAATTAGCTCGGCAACAAATTTGGGAGCCTCTATATTGAAGCTAGACTGCCAAACCGTAGTAAAGGCAATAAGGGAAACAAACTATTTTGAACGAGGTTGGGGACAATATGTAGGAACATAAGAGAATGTTGATGGTGGATCCTAAAGTGAGAGAAGGCATGTTAGTAGAACTACAAACGTTGCAGCACATGGTATGGTGCATACAAAGACACGATAGGGAGAGGTGGAGGTTTGGTTTGATCTTCCACCCATATATTTGATTCATTAGCTGAAACTTGATGATGTTACAGTGTCGATTAATCAATAATCATTGGTTTCTATATAAAAAAGAACTAAACGAACGACTATAATGTTTTCAAGTAAGAAAAGTGAGTAATTGGCTTATTTGATACATTTGCATAATCAATTTCACTTCGTTTGTTATTTTCCTTTCATATATAACTATCAAATTAACATTATGAATTTGTTTTTTGGCGAGGAAACTCTTGAGTTTGAATTTAATGATTTGAACCTTTGACTTCTAATCAAACGATTGTGGGTCCGCGTCCCACCAGGTGTGCCAATTTTTTTTCTGGCAAGGAAACTCTTGTGTTTGAATTCTATGATTTGCATTATTGACTTCTTGAACAACGGCAATAACACGGTTCACACCTCTCTGAACAATGTTCAAACAAGGGTGTTTGATATTTTTTATGGTTTTTTGGGAATAAGCTAAGGTACATTACTCTACTTTTATAGAGGTTCGGTGAGAGTTCCATAAACTAAAAGCTACATATTTGGCTACATTCTAGGGAAAGTTAAAGTTTGAATGTGATGACAAATGTTTAGTTTTGGAACCCTTGTTTTGTCCTTGTTTCTCCTATTTATAGCCATCACTTGTAACCGTCTCTTTGTAACAGAGCCTCCATTGTAGCTTGCTTGATGCTGCTTGGTGTTTGGTATAGATTAATTAACGCCTTAACCGCCTTGCTTGCATGCCACTTGATATTTTAACATCGGGGAGTTGATGGACGCACACTTCCCCCTTGGGGTGGCATCTTGCTTATAGGGTCTTGACAAGATGGTAGTGGTTGGGTCTCAAAAAGGGTATTTGTGATGTCCCTCTTTGCACGACATCATGGTGAGACACCTTAGATGAATTCAAACATAACACCGTAGTGGTTGGATCTCAGCACTTAGCCATGTTTGACAGGTGGGTGCTTGGTGGGTTGAGGGATGTGTGTTGATGTGCCTAGCATCACGTAGTCTAAAAAAGCACCACTTAGTCCCAACTTAAATCAATTTTTAATTAATTTGGCCTTATAAACCACAATCACTACTTGAAATAATCAATATCACATTAATGGTGGTACACTGAATGAAAAAAAGAATATTGATTTTATTTCATAGATACTTCATAATTTTTTATATCTTTTGCTGCAAAAAATTGTTTATCGTATCCCTTCATTTTGTAGAACAATATGAAAGTACTTGAACTTTTACCTTCAAATTTTTAGAGGAGATAGATCATTATTCCTCACGATTGTTTATTGGACAATTAGTACTGGATTTTAAACAAGAAGCCAAACTCACTTACCTAAGAAACATTTTATCAACTTTGCATAACTTTTTCAATGAAACTAAATATTAATGTGACTATGAAAAAGAACATAGATGTGTTGCACCTAAATCACTAGAAAATCAATGACACTAATTAAAAATTAAGACAATTGTGCAAATGTCAATCTCATGCTCATAAATTGATCTTAAGAAGGTGCGAAACCGGTAGAGGAGGAAGCACCAACAATACCATTAGTATTGATGTTATTGGTAAGGCCAATTACTTCCATCCTCCTATTCTCCACCTTCATCAACACATCCGAGTAGGCAGCCTCAAGATCCGAAAGCTCTTCCACCTCCACCTCACCAACCCCTTTTTTCCACCAGTTATTCATTGGCTTTCTCTCGAGCTTTCCCCTCAAATTTTTCTTTTTCTTCTCTTCCTCTTCCATCAATTCGCGTAGGTTCTTGTGGGTACATAGTAGCTCTTGGATCCTAGCCTGCCTGTACATCCCTTGATTGAGAGGTATTTGGGGCTCATGTAGGTGGCCTAGGTATCGAAGTGCAATGTCCTCAAAGGAAGGATCACCATAACTGAAGGGTTTTCCTGCAACAGAAAATACCAAAAATCCTACCTCACTGCCTGTCAAGGTGACAAACTCACTTAACTTCTTATAGATTCCTGCCCGACGCTTTGAGAAGGTGACCATCCTATCGGTTTCCTTTTCAATCATTTTCATTTGGATCTTTTGCCTCCCCCTTGTTTTCTTGATGACAATGTTTGTGTTGTGGTTGTTCATCTCCATTTGGGGAACTCGGAGGGAAAAAATGGTTATATGGGATGCTTGGTATGAATTATGGAGTGTACAAGACAAGATGGATTGATGCTTTCATTTGATGCACTTGCCAATGGATTTATAGTGTAAGGACGTGTAGCAAATCCGGGAATGACCACAATTCGAGTACGATATTGAGTCTTTTCATTTGTGAATAGACTCTATTTTAAGTTTAGACTATTGATATATTTGGTTGTCCTAATAAATTTATATACATTTTTGTCAAAAATATATCTGACTAAGAGTTATCTATTACTAAATATTTGGCATGTATATAAATGTCTTTCCAATACACATTACTTGACATGTATATCAGTGTGTCGTAACCTGGAAAATTTGTGTTGCTTAGTAGTATATAGACAAAGTACCCAATACTCTTATTGCATAAATAGTAGTTTTAATAAAAGCTTAGCTGTTTGCCAGATTGTCAAACATTTTCTATTGCCAGATTGTCAAACATTTTCTGTTTTTATCAGATAGATTGGCAAACCAAAAATTTTATGCTTACTCAATATTAGAAAATTAAAAATTATTTACAAAATTTAGTCTCTACATTTTTTCGGTAATACAAGAATCTTGAATATTTTCTCACCATCTTATTGAAATAATAATTTGAAAACCCGTTTTACTATTCTATCGCCAGATTAGCAAATTATATCGACTATGATTTTTGCCTATGCTCATAAATGGTGTTATCTAGTCCACATTTCTTGGGTGTGTTTTCTTCTTATTACAAAATTCATGGATTGTTTAACTCTTGATTTGACCTAGAAATGCTTCCCCTTGTATTTTGGTAGCGTTTTAAGTGTCAATTCAGATTTTAAGTGTTTATGTCCAAGAATTCGGCTCAAGAGTAGGAAAAATGTGCAAAAAGGAAAAAATAAAAAAGATCACGACCAGAGGGCGAAGTTCACGGGTGAGAAGATGGATTCCACCAAGAATTCACGGTTGAGGCATAAGTTCACAACCGCGATCTCTGATCGTTGGAGCCAGAAACATGGAGAAGTTGTGGACAAATTGTACAGAAAGTCTAGCAATCTACCTCGCAGAACTTCAAGCATGAGATTGCGAAAAAGATCATGTTGATGTGACTTGAATCGGACTATCAGCTGCTACGACTAGATTAGTCGGGGGTCCAGGGGCAACGCCCCCGGCTCGCGGTGTATGGGCTCAATGTTATTTGGGTTTGGGTTCTGGGCCTGGTCTGTAACCGTTTCCTTTACCAGATTGGATTAGGTTTAGACCCACATGGAGAAGTACTATAAATACTTCTCATACTCCTCTGTAATCTGTAATCTCCTCGATATAGTGAAACTGGCTCTCTCTCGCCCGTGGACTAGCTAACACACATCGTGTTAGTGAACCACGTAAATCGTGTGTCGTGTTTTCGATTCTCGCTTTCGTATTCTTGCTTTGTCTATGCCAGCGATTTCCTTGTTGTCCACTTCTGCCACGACAACTGAACCTTGTTTCTGCAGAGCCAAGGTGGATTGAGATGCAAACTCTAAATGAGAGTGAGTTTGAGCACCAAGGTAGAGAAGATCAACATGAGGATGTTTCCATAGAGCTAGAAACTTCAGAGTCCAGTGCAGGAGCTCAACAGTCTATAGCTTCCGGTAGACTGAAGAGAGCGACTGCAGGGGTACCTCCACAGAGGTATGGCTTCGAGGACATGGTGGCGTATTAATTTCAGATTGCTGAAGAAGTAGATGCAGGTGAACCACGGTCCTATAGAGAAATCGTTTCGGGCGGTGAAGCTGATCAGTGGCTTGCCACAATGGGAGATGAGATGGAATCCCATGACATGAATTAGACTTGGGAGCTAGTCAAACGACCATAGGGAAGGAAGATTGTTACAAACAAGTGGATCTACAAGAAGAATGAAGGAATCACTTCAAAGAGGGCATGAAATTTAAAGCTCGGGTGGTTGCACGAGGCTTCTTGCTGAGGGAAGGAGTTGACTACAATGAGATTTTCTCACCAGTGGTAAGACATACTTTGAACAGAGTGCTACTAGCAATAGTGGCACATTATGGCTTGGAGCTCGAGCAGCTATACGTGCAGATAACTTTCATACACGGAGAGTTGGAGGAAGAAATTTACATGACTCAGCCAGAAGGATTCCAGGTTCCTGGAAAAAAAAGACTATGTTTGTAAGCTGGAGAAGTCCTTGTATGGACTTAAGCAGTCTCCGAGGCAGTGGTACAAGAGATTTGACAGTTACAAGCTTGAGCTGGGCTACAACGGAAGTCCATGTGATTGTTGAGTGTATCACAACAAGAAGGAGGATGGTTCGATGATCTATCTTGTTTTGTATGTGGATGATATGCTCATAGCTGCGAGGTCGAGGTATGATATCTAGAAGTTAAAGGGGCTTCTCAGTGCTGAGTTTGAGATGAAGGATTTGGGATCTTCTTAGAAGATCTTGGGTATGGAGATTTACAGGGACAGGTCGAAGAAGAAGCTTTTCTTGTCACAGAAGAGCTACATCCAGAAGATACTGTCGAGGTTTGGCATGTCTTCAGCGAAGCCCTTAAATACTCCTAGTGCTTCAAATGTTCATCTATCCTCAGCTTATGCACTGCATTCGGAGGCTGAGAAGGAGTACATGTCGAGAGTATCATATGCTAGTGCAGTAGGTAGCTTGCTGTATGCTATGGTATGCAGTAGACCTGATCTTGCAAATGTTGTTAGTGTTGCCAGCAGGTTCATGATACAACCCGGGAAGGAGCATTGGCAGGCTGTAAAGAGAATCTTCTGATACCTTAAGGGTACACCTGATGTGGGGATTAGCTTTGGAAGTGATACAGAGTGCTTGGTGTCTAGGTATTCTGACTCGGACTATGCTGGAGATGTTGACACGAGGAGATCGATGAATGGTTATGTATTCACTCTTGGGAGTTCTGTAGTGAGCTGGAAGGCAACTCTGCAGTCAGCGACGACATTGTCTACTACTGAGGCAGAGTATATGGCGTTAAGGATGGCAATGGGGCAGGTTTGCTCAAACCATCCCCATACCCATCTTCAAATACCCAAACCCATACCCTCCCCATACCCATGCTGGGGGAATGTTTTGCAAACCCATCCCCATACCCGTGGGTTTCGGGTACCCATGGGTAATACCCATACCCATACATCCAACATTATTATACCTAAAACTTACAAGAAGAGTTCTAATTATAACTCTAAACGAACATATTATATCATGAAGTCAACAAAACACGGTCATTTTTTTAATATGGTTCTAAGATTATGATCCTAAAATATCCATTAATACATAATATAAAGTATAATATTTTTCAAATTATTATGTTCTAACTCTGATACATCTACTAAATAATAATTAACTAACATAATCTTGTTGACAAAGGGGAAAGTGATAGAGTGAAATGAGAATTGAGAGAAATGAATTAGATTTTAATTAAGGTGGTCACTCAATTGCATTTCCACTATTTATTTTCTCAAGTTATCCTCATCATAATCGATAGATTATAATTTGATGCACATTTTTTTTTTATATATGAAGAAATTATCTTGGTGGGGCGGGTATGGGGATGGGTATGGGGTGGGGAGGCTAAAACCATACCCGCCCCATACCCATCAAACTTTTTGCAGGTTTTACCCATACCCGGTCAAAGCGCGGATTCCCCGCGTTAACTGGGTCAGGGGCGGCCGGATACCCGCGGCCATGGGTTTGATTGCCATCCCTATATGGCGTTGACAGAAGCTGCTAAGGAGGGAATATGGTCGAAGGGACTGGTTGGTGATCTGGGTCTACATCATGATCATGCAGTAGTGTATTGCGACAGTTTGAGTCCAATATGCTTGGCCAAGGATCAAGTCCACCATGAGAGGACTAAGCACATCGACGTGAGGTATCATTTCTTGAGGACAGAGAAGAGGATTAAGGTGAAGAAGGTTGGCACCGTGGATAATCCTGCTGATATGTTCACGAAGCCGGTTCCACATGGAAAGTTCCAACACTGCTTGGACTTGCTGAATGTCTTGAGTGGGTGACTCCGCCCTACGGGGCATTGATGGCGGGAGAGAGAGAAGGAGCAGAGTACATAAGAGATTCCAGAGTAAGAGGATTCAAGTCAAGGTGGAGATTTGTTTATGTGACTTGAATCGGACTATCAGTCGCTACGACTAGATTAGTCGGGGGCGCGGGGGCAACGCCCCCGCCCGCGGTGTATGGGCTCAATGTTATTTGGGTTCGGGTTCTGGGCCTGGTCTGTAACCGTTTCCTTTGCCATATTGGATTAGTTCTAGACCCACATGGAAAAGTACTATAAATACTTCTCATACTCCTCTGTAATCTGTAATCTCCTCGATATAGTGAAACTGGCTCTCTCTCGCCCGTGAACTAGCTAACACACATCGTGTTAGTGAACCACGTAAATCGTGTGTCGTGTTTTCGATTCTCGCTTTCGTATTCTTGCTTTGTCGATTCCAGCGATTTCCTGATCCATAGCAGCGCGTTTATAACAGATCACAACATCGACTTCCAGTTCACGACTGCGAAATTCAGGCCATGATCTCTCCACTTGATTAGCTGAACATGTCATCGTATCGACTTTGCAGTCTAGAGTCGCAAACTCGACTTTGCCACCTATCTTCTATAAATAGAGCGTTGCTCCTCTGATTTTGGACATACTTATGGATTTGAAAACCCTATAGAAAGGACAACCTCTGATCAATGTAAAGGCTATCATTGTGGAAGTATAGAATTTCCATGGATATAATATAAGGCACAAGATATCATACACGAATTGGTATGACCTCAAGAGGTGAACAATACACTAAGGCTGGATGGTTTTAGTACTAGTCTGGACTCATGCATATGTGAGTTCACTTGACGTGGTGGAGAAATAGTGGAATGTATGTTTTGTTCGTATATTGTTTCCCCTACTGAGGTTTGGAGGTTTATTTGAGTTGTGGAAGAAACTAATCATGTTTTGATATCCATGAGTTGTATCAGAGTTAGAGACTTTTAAGTGCATTCTATGGGCTTCAACATGATATGATCTTTGATGTTGCGCCTTCTGAATATGGTGGTCTCCTAACGGAATGTTTATGTGTCCTTTTTTTTGAACTTTTTAATTTTGTTTGTTTGGTAATACAATTATACCACTATTATAAAAAGCTAAATACAATGGTTGAGTTTTATGGATATTTGGTAGGATCCTTTGCTTACCTACCGTAGTTGATTCTGACAGTGATTGACAAAAATAATGGGTAAGT